CACTCAGCAAAAACTGGAATAGTAGTTGCGTATATAAACCACTGAAGCCTCCATATTGTAAACACAAAGTCATTAATATCAACATTTCTTAAATAAGATTTTAAACGGTCCCAATCAGTCCAATAACGCCAGTGTTTTTCCTCGTTGTAGGTTACACTATTTATGAGTGTTCTTGAGTCATGACAGAACATTTCAGGGTCAAAAACAGCCAAAAACATTTTTGGAAATTGTCCTTCGTGTCGTTGTAATTTCTCGCTTGAAGTGAATCACTAATGAATTTCAATGAATTTTCAACAGACTGGCGCATGCGCACGCCAAACGGCCCCTTGTTATGAACCAACTGACTTTGACCACGTAATTTTTGGTTTAGGACTTCCGGTTGCGTGACATTTTGGCAAAACAATGTCAGTGCCTATCTTTTTAATAACTGGTCCAATGGCCAATGTCACTCGAGGTCTAAAGTTTACTTCAACTGTTGATCGGCTTTGTTCGCTACCAAAAATGTTGGTAGCTTTGCATTGATAAGTGCCACTATCATCTGAAGTCACATTAGTTAGCTTAAGTTTTCCGCTGTTGTCGACAGTAAATCTATCTTTCGGTAAAGAGCCATTTGCTTTGCTCCATGTAATAACAGGTCGCGGGTATCCAGAGGCAGAGCAAACCAAAATGGCGAGATGATTTTCATTAATAACCAATTTTGAAGGCGAAATAATTACTGATGGTGCTGCTAGGGAAGGACCAGGGTCCCCCTTCAATCCTGGCATGCCTCGGGGACCARGAGCTCCAGGCTCWCCCGGAACACCTTTAAGACCTCGTGGACCTCGTTTGCCTCTTCTCCCAAACTTTCCTCTTGGTCCACGTGGTCCTTTTGTCCCTACATCACCTTTCTGTCCTTTCTCTCCTTGTGGACCGGGAGGGCCTGGAATAGGAATCCAGTATCTCGCAGATTGTAGCTTAGACACGGCTTTACCAACCTCTTGATGAATTGTTTTAGTAATTTGTTCTTGGAGCGATTTTTGTGTATTGTTCATTATAGCTGGTAAAGGAGCTCCAATGCTTCGCTTGGAAATTTTGTGAGCCTCTTCCGGTTTCGCTTGTCGATTCTCTCTTTGGGACACATGGTCAGTTTTTCTCGCGTTCTTTGTCTTTAAAGAAGTCACTTCTCTTTCCATTGTCTTCATTCTTGAAATTTGAGCAAATAGCATAAACTTCATTTGGACAATTTCTTGTTTACATGTCGAGGAAAGGAGATCATCGATGTTTGCTTTCCTGTTGCTTTGTGTTGATGTCATCGTTTTCTCAACCTGACCAAGTCGTACCGCTTGCTCGTTTACGACCCACTCAATCCGAAGAAACTCACCACAGCATAAAAGTATCATTACTATTGAAACCAAAATGGGGGTTTTAGACGAGTGCGTATAAACGATTTTTTCTGACATCTTTAAGGCAAAGTGAAATAATACGTAGATTATGCTCGCATGACTTTAACACGCAACGCAACAAACAGGAATAGACACGATTTGTAACTGTATATTTTCTGGGGTCAATTGCTCAGACAACTTGCACACAGGAAATTCAACTAGTTTCATTTTTCCGCATCCATATCTGTAATTGTAAATCATCACYTGTGAATTTTTCCACTTCGCTTGATTTAAACCAATGGAAAAGAATGCTAGAATAACAGAGATAGTTTTTAAAGATTATTATGATCAACAGTGCTGAAAATTTTKGAAATCGGCAATTCTGATGTTCAAAATGTCAAAAATTCCTAAAACTTTACGTTAATCAAGATGATAAAAAAGCCGTGATTACCAGTAAATAGCTGGGTAGTCTAAAAAAGCACGCTATTAGCTTCACGTGACGCATAATATATATAATTACCAAACTAGGGGCTATCATTAACTATGATCTATTCACGATGCACCATGGTAGCCTGGCATCGAATAAAGTGAAAAGAATGTCGAGAAAAATTGCTCTTGTCAACTTGCCCTATAGTTTGGTGGATAGTTAATTTTTTTCTAAGCAATAAATTTTTACCTTGTGGTTTAAAATCTCATTGTCTAATTACAAAAATTTAATTAATAGTTTTATAATTAATGATTAATTTAAAAGTAATGATAATCATCCTTTATCATACTAAGTGAAAATTATTATGACGTATTATGTAAAAACTTACAGTTTTGAAATAAAAAAATTAAAGAGATTTCACAGAAAAAAAAGGAGATCAGAATTTCCATGCAGTATTTTAAAATATTTAAGTATTTTTAAACTTTAAAAGTTTCTGTATAATTTTCTTAATGGCATGGAAACATCATATCTATTTTTTTCATAGAAACTTCAATTTTGCRGTAAAAAATTAGGTTCGGCGATCGAGCCAGACAATAATACATATTATATAGAGCTTTCTCAAATTCACCAAATTTTAAATAGAAATTGATGATGACAGAGGCTACAACATCATCATACTACATATTACAGGTCTTTTGTAGAGTTCGGCCGTGTTTTTTGTTTGTTTGTTTGTTTTCAAGATTATATATAGTATTCATATATAATAATTAACAATTAGACCTCGAGGTCGAGTGGACTACGAGYTAATACTCCAATTTCGAGTTCTGGTTTGCTCTGTGTTAGCCTCAAAACCAAGTAAAATATTCTTTTGTTTTATTAGTAGCCCGAGAAAATGCATGGAATTTGTGAAGAAAAACAATGAAATTTATTTGAAATCTCACACTTTTATTCTCACAATTAGGAATATTTTGCGCACAAATGAGGCTAACACAGAGCATTGCAGAATTCGAAACTGGATTATAGCCCATGAGGCCGAGTCCGCGAGGCCGAATGGGCTATTAGCTCGTAGTCCACGAGGCCGAGAGGTCTAATTGTTTTAGTATAAACATACTAATCGGTCAGATAATGAAAACAAATTGAAATATCCTTAAAATAATTTATAATTTATAATYTATTTATTATGATTTTCCCGCGAGTGGTCTATCACAAATTAGACCATTAGTAGAGTAGCCAATCACAGTGCAGTATGAGTGATAGACCATT